CTGCTTGACGAGCCTATATTGTGTATGTATGTGACGTCACTGAAGGCCTAAGGTTGAAATGCACGGCCCGCCACTGCTAAGCATATATTAATACATTTTGGTAGAGAGGAATATAGGCCTACTGTCATATAGGTTATGTTATCGGGCATCCTTCTAATTCCCTTGAACAACCAAGATTGAACTTTTGAACTCTTTGTAATTTCTATTATCTAGTCCAGTTAAAGTCCAGGGGAGGAAGCCCCATCATAGTAAAGAGGATACTAATGTGATGTGTGTAGTTCTTCATAGCCTCTTCATTTTGCTCTCAAAGTGCACGGAATTGATGGATTTTTAACAGAATGTAGAAAAAAATTCTCCCGGGGGGGCATGCCCCCGGACCCCCCTAAAGGGGCTGTTTTCCCCTTGGGGCTAAGCCCCCCTTGTTCTTGAAATCTAGTGACGCCCCTGGTTCTCACTCATCCCGGTCATTTAATTCTCAGGGAACAGGACCGACCGTAACTGAATTCTTCTGCTTGTTTTCGATGTTTCGCCTTTCATCCGAGAGTGCTTGATCAAGATATGCAAACAAGGCTGTGTTCGGGCTGCACCAGCCTCAGTTGGTGTGGAAAAGCATTTGTGATTTAAGGCATGCGTCCCACTTGGAGCTGAGATAGTTGGCTTTCCCCACACTAACTGAGGCTCGTCTGTCCTTATCAAGCCATGTTTGCATGAAGTGAGAAAGCCTGAGTCATTGAGAATAGTGATGACATTGTCTGTTTCTGTCGGACTGCATTGTACGGCCAAGGGGGGTTGTGTTCATTGTTGTGGTTGGATAAGAAGTAGAAGCATATTACATTAAAATATAAAAAGTGCAATTCGTTTGCATTTAATCTTGTAGGACTTCGCCTTTTCAAACGTTTATTTTAAGAAGGCTTCGGAGCCTTTCAATAGTTTCTAAGTCAGGCCCAGTCGACTCCCACAGTCACGGGGAATGCCGCTGACAGTTCAAAAACAACACCCAAAAAGTTATTGCCCAACAAGCTGGCTGCTCATACAGTGTGAGATCCAAGCACCTTAATAAAAAGATAAGTGGAAGAAAAAAAACCTGTGAAAATGATAGATTGATTATTTTTAGTTATCATACATTCGCTTATTATTAATGTTATTATTGTTATTTTGATATTAATTGATTGATTGATTATGCTCGCAAAGAAGAAAGCTTATGCCTGCAATGATAAATTGATTATGCTTGCAAAGATGAACGCTTATGCCTGCAATCATTAATTGACTATGCCTGCAATGAAGAACGCTTATGCTTCTAATAAAGATATATTCATCATTATGTACTCACATTTATAATCCTTTGTATTATATTTATATACTCACATTTATAATCAAAAATGCTTAGTGCACTGTGTGGAAGTTTAGGGACGCAACCACCTTTCCGAGGACGTGGTTGGGAAGAGATAAGTGTTAAGACTAAACAGGAGCAAGGTTGGACAGTGAATGGAGCCATCAACACCAGCTGCAACGTGGTGTTTTTGTAACAATTGCACACATGTACGTAATTTACACTCACATTCACACACATAGTCAAACAAGTTCAGTGTGTCTTCAACAGCCCCCACCCTTTAGGTTGGACACACCTATGTAGTAGATTTCCCAATAAATAAGGGGGTGAAGGGGGAGATCGTGAGGGGTGACGTGCCAAGAACTGAAACCGAACGCTTCTCCTCGTTCCCTCCTGGTACCAGAATTGAGTCTCCTGTCTCCTCCTTGTGTTTTATTCCTGAGTGTCAAATTGGATAAACCTGACAGAAATCAAACTCATTCAAGAATTCAGAGCAAATTCAGAAGGAGGAGTCTGAGGTTGGCCTCAGTGTCAGATCTTGTAATGCTCTTTTTTTTCTTCTGTGCAAGTGGTAATAAGGCACTTTTATTGAATCCCGTTCCACTTTGTTGTCTCGTTTGTTACGCTCGCCTTACCCAAGACAGCTGGTGTGACATGAAGAACATTCAACATGCCATTTCGGTATGATACGGTGTGTTGACATTTTGTGTTTGAACTGGGGCATTCTCCAGCAACATCAGCTTCAACCGCAAACTCGCAAAACCATTCTCAGTCTCTTCCGGCGTGCAAATTCCGCCTGAAATCATACCTCCCACAAAATTGGTCTCCAAGTAGTCTATAATCTGGTTGTAGTCACTGATGATGTTGTCGCCGTGGAGGAAGACGGGCACCTCCTCTCCCAGGTTAAGCCTCATGAACCACGGCTCCTTGTGCTCCTGCAGCGGCAGGCTGACGTCTCTCTCCTCGCACACCAGACCCTTCTCGTTGATCACCAGACGGACCTGCAACATCGAGCATCCAGCTGAGCGAAGCTCACTTCACGTCTGTGGTTGAAAAGAGGCTCCTGTGATATCATCAAAGCGAGAAAAGAGGGCTCACGGAATTTGAAAAGCATTTGTCAGGTTTGGATGAAAATGGCAACCAAAAAAATAATTCTCCAACTCGAGCGGCATGGAAGATAAAATCAAGGTGTTCGGGTTGGTATGAGTGGAAAGTTTGCGAGATCTATTCAAAGGGTAGTAGCATATGGCAACACTTGTTTAAATTCATCTCTCCTTTTATTATTTATCATTTTATCTGTGGTTTTATTGTTCTTGTTTTGATTGTAAAGTGTCCTTGAGTGTTTTGAAAGGCACTTATAAATGAAATGTATTATTATTATTATTATTATTCTGTTTTTTGAAGCCACTGACGGCCATCTTGGAAAGTATGGTGCCCATCGCTAAGCCCGGCTAACTTGAATACATTGTTTTCGCTGTGCCCTTTTCACCTTTTTTTCTGTCTCTGAGGTGAACATGTCACAGTGTGTGCCGTGCGGTTTGTACCCGTACATCTACAATTTAAAATTTTGTATTCTGAGGTTTATGTTTGACTGCGACTCAAAGACTCAGGCTATTAGATCCATAAAAAAAACTAAATGCAAGTGAAGCGCATCGGGACAAAATTTGCTGAGAAATGTAAACTTATGTGAGTCACAATCCACGACACAGACATAAGAGACTGAACGGTCGATGAGAATCTCTCCTTACTCCCTACAGGCACCCTAGCATCAAACACGCACTGATCGCAGTGTTTTCAGCGAAAAAAAAGTGGAACGATAGTATACACAGGCACACCCAAAAATTCCTTCCATCCATCAATTTTCTGATCCGCTTTATCCTCACAAGGGTCGCAGGGCGTGCTGCAGCCTATCCCAGCCGTCTTTGGGCAGTAGGCGGGGGACACCCTGAACCGGTTGCCAGCCAGTCGCAGGGCACACACAAACGAACAACCATCCGCGCTCACACTCATACCTGTGGACAATATGGAGTGTTCAATCAGCCTGCCATGCATGTTTTTGGAATGTGGGAGGTAACCGGAGTACCCGGAGAAAACCCACGCAGGCACGGGGAGAACATGCAAACTCCACACAGGGAGGCCAGAGCCGGAATTGAACCCGGTACCTCTGCACTGTGAGGTCGAAGCGCTAACCGCTGGACCACCACCGGGCTGCCCTCAAAAATTCTTGATTTTCATATTTCAATCTTAGGGTCAGATAGAATGTACGAAATGGAAAAACAGGCTACAGAACTGAATTGGATTTTAAGATTAAATTAGTTACAGTTTGTGAACCTAAAAAGCCTGGCGTGATGAGCATTAGAAAAGATGCATTCGCTTGTTAGCTGCTTGGGAAAATAAATGAAGTCACAATTTTTTTTTCAAGTTTTGATTGTCAATTGCAAATGAACTGAATAAGTGATTGGACCCAAGGAGGATTTTGTGAGATTTCTAACAAAGCTGCCACTTTTGCCAGATTTTGTTATGTAATCGTGTTAGTCACTCATCATTGAGCCAAGTGGTTGAGCTGCTCAGGAGGCACAGAATGACTCTTCACTTTATTATTATTATTCTTATTATTCTTATTATGATTATTACTTCCGGAAAAAAAATGTTTCCCTAAAAGCAAGAACATAATGTAGAGGCAATAGCACAGAAAGCAGCTGCTGTCCCACTAAGACGAAACACTGAACCACCGAGTGACTGAAAACACAAGACTGTTGACGGTTACTTGGAACATCGAATACAGAAATAACCCTGCATAGTGAGGCGCATGCTGCTTCACTATGTCCAAAGACAAAGTCATCACACATGGAGTAGCATGTTTGAGTGAACGAGCGAGGGATGCAGCAATACTACTTTTTCTAGACAAGTACGTGCTTTCACTTGAGAGTACGAGTGAATATAAGTAAATATTAGTACTTGACAATACACTGTAGTGATAGCTGATAGTGTCATTGTGTCTTAGAACTGTGATAAAAACATCCAGCCGTTTTCTCATCCGCTTATCCTCACGCAGGCACGGAGAACATGCAAACTCCACACAGGAGGGCCAGAGCTGTAATCGAATCCTGCACCTCTGCACTGTGAGGTCGACGTGCTAACCAGTTCAACAAAACATGTTTGATTTTATTCAAATATTGCTAAAAACACAAACATGTTTCGCTTAGATTAAGCACTTTTTAGAGTAACAAGATTGGACTTGATGGAACCTCCTCTCCAGCACTGCTGAATAAACCTCAAGGATGCTGAGTTGGAGTTGGAACAAACCCACCGGTGCCACTTCTTAAAAATGGGGACCACCACCCATCCAGAGGCACCGTCCCGATGTCCACGCAATGTTGTAGAGGCGTGTCAACCAGGGGAGCCCCACAACATCCAGAGCCTTTAGGAAATCTGGTTGGATCTCATCCGCCTCGGCGCTAAGGAGCTTTTTAAGCACTTCTGTGACCCAGAGATAGGAAAGCCCACCTCAGATTTCCCAGACTCTTCTTCGCCATGGGAAGGCGTGTCGGGGGAATTGAGGAGTTCTTCAAAGTATTCTCCCCACCAATTCACAACGTCCCATATAGAGGTCAGCAGCACATCATTTCCATTGTACACAGTTTTTTGCGTATACATGCGCACACACACACACACACACACACACACACACACACACACACACACACACACTACACACACACACACACACACACACACACACACACACACCTTGCAGGCTGTATTTGCAGGTATATGCGCCAGACTTTTTCTCAACACATTCGATTCACACTTTTCCCGTGTGGGTTTGATAAAGAAACTGTCCGAGTGTGTCACTTTGATGCAAACAAAAAATGTTCTTTTATTTCTTGTAGGGTTTCAAAACACAGGCAACTGTTTCGAACCAGGCTTAACATTGCAAATTAGGGTCAAGGACAAAAAAAAAATGAGACGATTTTTGCTGGCTTTTTTTTGTCTGTGGTAAAGTTAATACGACAGGTCTTGTAAAGCAGTCATATGTTTTGCATATATAACACACACACACACTCAACACACACACACACACTCACACACCTGGCTGTTTTCTGTCCTGTCCAAGACGTCAGCTTCACATTTACGCTGTCCAATAGTTACATACAGTCCACTTCTATGGGAGACATTATTGTATGGCGGAGTGTGATGTTACTTTGCAGGGACTTTTTACATTTTACACCACCAACCAAACATTTTGTGGTATCATGATGCAGCAGACTTTGCAGGAAACTTTGGGCATAACATTGAAGGTGCTCTTAACATGCTCCCTTAAATGCTGTAGCACTGATCTACGACACTCACTGTGCCTTTTACACCTCCTGCATGGCAATACGATATGTCCTTTTTAAATTCACCCTGCATGGCTACATTTTGAGCAGGATGAATACACGTTCTCCAGCAAAGTGTGGTCACATTTGCATGTCACGTCATGTCACTGGTACAGCTTCTCACGCTGACCCCCAACGCACATTTGTGACTGATCCTGTAACGTCTGACCATGACAGCGTGTTGGCATCAAGAAAAGTCTTACAAATGACTCCTTTGCCCTTATTCATTGCTCAGTGTCCTGTGCAAAGCTGTTCTGGTTATTTTGGAGACGGGATTAAAAGTGGAATCACATTGAAAGCATGAGCTGATTGAGTACTCTTTGTAATGGAATCGACAACCCGATACACTCCAGATGCCATCGCAATGCATGCCTCCCATGTTTCTATTAAGAAATAAAGTCAAACAAAATTTAATCAACGGGGATGCACCGATACTGCTACCGGTGCTGCTACTGTACATCTGTACTCAAATTTGTACTCCGATACTATGACACTGATATCACTTCAACAGCCTGAAACGAACACTCCCAGCCGTATGTGGTGAGAAAAAAATGTCGGATGAAACCAAAGTCGAACTGTTTTATTCAGCTGCAACTGGGGTCTGACTTAAGTTGGAGGATTTGATGAACAGTTCTCCCACAATATTACAGACTGTAGCTCTTATTTTTTTCTGTTAGTCACTTTGAAAGCTTTGCTTCTGGGCAGAAAGTTTGTACACAGTCATGTGACTGCCTGGCTGCGCTTGGTTGGTCAAATGAAATCAAACGTCACAAGTAGTTCTGGTGCATTGGTGAAATATAGTCATGTGCCAGAGTCCAAAGTGGGAGTCTCTCTGATAGACCAAAACAAATAGTTCACGCAAGCCATAATAGATGGACCAAATAAAAGTAGTGAGCAGAATGCAGCTCGTTTAAAGAGAGTAAAAGGATTGTCAAAGTAAAAAGCATTTTTCATTAAAACTTCTCTGACAAGTACAAATTGATGGGGGGAAAATGACTTCAGTAAATGTAATGTGGCACTATTTACTCACCTCTAATTATAAGTGAACCTGAACTGCAAAATTTATTTTAACTCAAGATTTGTAATTGGCGTTTTGCCTGGTATATCTAAGAAATGAGAAATGGGTGCCATTCGTGCTTGGGAGGCGAGTACAACATTTAAATTTTCCGTATGCATTTTACGCAGTTCGTAGCTGCCCAGTCACCTGCATGACAAGTTGACAAGCCACACTTGCCAAAAAGCAACTGTTTGCACTCAGCACTCACGTGTGAGCCAGTGCTCGTGCAACACACAAGTGCAAATCAAGGCCCATCTATGCGCTCATGTAGCGTGCATGTGGATAATAGTGAGGATGCAGCTGCAGAGGTGGGTGGGGGCTTGTTTTGCTCGTCATGTGAATCAATTATTCAGCCTGTCATGTGTCAGAGCGACCCAAGAGTCAACTGGAAAGGTGGTGAAGAAGGAGGGGGCATGGTGGTGGTGGTGGTGATGATGATGATGATGATGATGATGCGTGCGTTGCTGCACTGTCAATATTGGCCACGCGTCGAGGAAATGAGCGAGCGCCTTGATGCAAAAAAAACCCCAAAAAAACTGTCGAACGGATGCTGCGCGCAGCTGCAGGCGTATTTTGCGTGCACAGGCAGCAGGACGCCGAAACGTGCACGCCAAGAGAATACAAAACCAACACACGGTAGCATAGCACCAAGCAAGCGAGAGGTACCTCCATTTTTTGCTACCTTACCTTCTGGGAGGCAAAAGACTGCGTCCAATGGTACAAAACCAGTCTGTCTTTGTTGAGCGCTTTGGGTTCGGCCGTGCAGGGGTCGTCGCACTCGTCCCCGTCTGTCATTTTGCCGTCCTCGTCCATCGCCGAGATGGGCCACCAGCCACACTTGGTGGGGGTAACATGGTTGGAAGACGCCATGACAGAGCGTTTTGAGCGTGTGGAGGAGAGGAGCGACCGGAGGAGGGGGAGAGATGGGCTGGCAGGGGGGAAGGGGAGGTGGGG